ACAGAGAGAAGATGGTTTCTAAAATGTCTGATCTTGTTACATGAAGAATATGATAGTTATTCAATTTCATAAGTTCATGACTTTATTGTATTGGTTGTTTGCTTAGAGGGAAAGAATGGTTAAGTGTATAGTTTTTTCACACACTCTGTTGAAGAATTGACAACTTGTGTAGGTTAGATAGGTTTACTTATAGCTCCATTTGGAAAAGCTAGTATCTTTTAGCTTTAGTAGCAATACTGGTTTGAGGTATCAAGTATTATGTTGTCTTTAGTTGTTGAAGAGCATAAAGTAGTAGATCTTGATTATTGTATTTATACCAAGGTCATGTTAGTTATTAAGCTCATCGACTGACAATTGTATTGATCCCTTTGGTTTCCAGTTTGACAACTTGTATGGATGCCGCCACTCACTGCCCGATGGTCTCATGAGGGCAACTGATGTTATGATTGCCGGAAAGGTTGCTCTTGTTGCTGGTTATGGAGATGTTGGTAAGGGATGTGCTGCTGCCATGAAACAAGCTGGTGCCCGTGTGATTGTGACTGAGATTGACCCAATCTGTGCTCTCCAGGCTACCATGGAAGGCCTCCAGGTTCTTCCTCTCGAGGATGTTGTTTCTGAGGTTGATATCTTTGTGACCACCACTGGTAACAAGGACATCATCATGGTTGACCACATGAGGAAGATGAAGAACAATGCCATTGTCTGCAACATTGGTCACTTTGACAATGAAATCGACATGCATGGTCTTGAGACCTTCCCTGGTGTGAAGAGGATCACAATCAAGCCTCAAACCGACAGATGGGTCTTCCCAGAAACCAACAGTGGCATCATTGTCTTGGCCGAGGGTCGTCTCATGAACTTGGGATGTGCCACTGGACACCCCAGTTTTGTGATGTCTTGCTCTTTCACTAACCAAGTCATTGCCCAACTCGAGTTGTGGAATGAGAGGAAAAGTGGCAAATACGAGAAGAAGGTGTACGTCTTGCCAAAACACCTCGACGAGAAGGTTGCTGCTCTCCATCTTGGAAAGCTTGGAGCTAAGCTTACCAAACTCACCAAGGATCAAGCTGACTACATTAGCGTACCAGTTGAGGGTCCTTACAAGCCTGCTCACTACAGGTACTGAGGGAAGAGACACTCATGGTGGAACAACTATATTGCGGCATGATTGTTTTGTTTTTAATACTTTGATTTTGTTTAGGTAGTGTGTTTTTATTATTGTTGGGGGATGTTTTGGGGGGAAAGTTGATCTAAATGTGTTCGAATAATATTTGAATTATGGTTGGGGTGGTGTCATCTGATATTTGTACTAAGATTCATTTGCTTTTGTTTCTCTATAAATTTTGCTTCAAGGAAACAAAGCCTCATGTTTTCCATTTTCAGTATATCTTTGCTTTATTTACTGATGTTATTGCAAATCTTCTACCTCCCAAGTCTAATTGCTTCTTGTATTATGTCTAATTATACAATGAAAAGTATGGCATCTGTTTATCAATCCATCTGAGAGAGTTCACTTCTAAGAGGGAAGATACATTGGTTGACTCCAATTTAGTGAAGATTCGTTTAGTTGATCTCAACTTGTTTGCGAGTCTCAATAGCGTCAACTTGTTTGAAATTATATTTGAGTTTTTCTTCTTATGTACGACTCTATAATTTATGTTTATTTTTGTTTGGTACATTATAATTTATGATTAATGACTTCATGAAAGATATACTTGGGGATCGTTTGGACATGATTTTAAAGTCGGGTTAACTTGAAGTTGAAATATTGTATGAACTTGCACCATTTGGACATTTTAGTGTTTTTTCTCACAAACATGAAAACTATCTTTTCCAATTTTTATATGATCCTACCAAACATGCAAATGGCAATTGCATATGTCCACGTTCAGTTTATTAATAAATATTTGCTATTATATGGTATTACCAATTTGTAAATACACTTTATTAATATAAATTTATTGGTTCAAAAATTAATAGTGAATAACTATTATTTGACAGAGGGGTTATTAACTATTTTTGCTTATTAAACTAACTTTTTAAGGATGGGAACCGCCTTCGGGATTACCATACTTCCAATTAAGGCTTCCCACCTTATTGGATCTTACAACCGCCCCCC